CATTTCATGCCGTTTAAGTTTAATAAGTTTACACGGCACCAAGTTTGAAAATTATCGAGATCTGTTTGTAATCTTACTGGCAGGCAACGTCATTGTATTGCCCGCAAACTTACATAAGCACTCTGGAGTTAGTCAAGACTTTGGCAGGTCATTTATAAATGATGTAACAAGAAGGGTCACAAATGGCTTTCTTGCGGACGCCAGATGTAACCCTTAGAACATAAGATAACTTGAGATAATACCTGAACACACAGCCTGGAGTTCCGTCGGACCTGGCGAATAAACTGGCTTGACACGATGAAGATCTAAAAGAAGAGAATTTTCGTTTAGGCTAGGACAGAATATTAAGATTGATTTGGGTATGGGAATATATATATATATATAGGAAAAAGTCTGGTGTAAATTCGAAGAGTTTGAATAAGTTGTTTGAAAAAAATACATCCACCGCAACTGACATGTCAGTGCACATGTATAGATCTGACCAATTAGATATTAATATGTTCGGTAGGGTAAATATTTACTTTCCAAGTCCGTAGCCGGTTGGCTGCCGAATCAGTAAGTTTGTTTTCCTTCTAGCCGAGTGGCTGGCTGCTGCTGCGAGGTGAGGAGCGTAACTGCCCTCCTATGCCTCTAGTCTTAAGCTCAGTAGGCGTATTTCAAAATAATAAAAGAGGTGATGGCCTGAGTAATGTTCGTGAGCATTAGCTCTTTATTCAAGTGAATTGGAAACAAGACTTAAGTTAAGAAACAAACTTATAGCTAACAAAGCTCAGAGCGGCCACGCAAATATGCAGTGTCTTCCGTCTGTGCACGAGCATCCGGCCCATTGCTAGGTCAGCAATTTGGCCGGAGCTTTGTTGTCAACGTGACTACGGTCAACGACTCTGGTCTGGCTGACCACAGTTAACTTTCACATGTATATAAAAACATTGCAGTACATGTTTGAGATCAGCTGTTTTTGTCCTGCCGTTCGCGCCCCTCTCTACATAAGAAGTGGTCAATATCTCAAGATATAAAATGTACATTTTTCGTCGTTGCGCTTGTGAACAGAAGCACACACATACACATATCATCAATAGCGGCCTGTAGGAATAACTCTTCCCAGGCCTGATGTTACCACTGCGCCTTCTACGTCTTCCATCCCGACCTAAAAAACTAACCCACTCCTTAGGTATTTCCTATCAGAATGCAAGAGGTTTACGTAGTAAGCTTCCTAACTTGTATTCTGATAGCCTTTCGTTTGCATCTCAGGTTATTGTGCTCACAGAAACCTGGTTAAAGCCGGAGATTCTGAGCTCCGAAGTTTTCCAGCTGTGTTCACGGTATATCGGCTAGATCGCCCTATCAGCCGCGGGGGTGGAGTTCTTATAGCGGTGGACTCCTCACTCACGTCAGAATTATTAACCTTCGAGGAATGCAACGATGTTGAATTCCTCTGTGTGAAGCTATCTATCAAAGGTAGCTCAATTTTTATTACCTGTTCCTACATACCTCCACTGTCGGAACTTCCTATTTATTGGAATCACCTTTCCGCTATTCAGATGGTTTCCAGTAGACTTTTGGATAGAGACCAGTTGGTAGTTCTTGGAGATTTTAATATCCTGGTGCTATTTGGTGCTCGAATAATTCCACCAATACTCTCAATACACCTACACAACATGACTTTATCGCTGGCTTGTTTGACATTTCGCTGTCTCAAGTCAACCATGTTCGAAATTCCTTACAGCGCTTGCTCGATCTTTGCTTCGTCTCTGATCCTGCGAGAGTCAGTTTAGCAAGGGTGGCGCCTCTGACGCAACCCGAAGATCCTTATCATCCAACTTTCGATGTGACTCTTGATATTGGGTGTGACGTACAGCATATTTTTGACCGTCCAGCCAATAAAGTCCTATGTTTTCGCAAAACGGACTTTGAACGGCTGAATAATTTTATAAACGAGTTCAATTGGTCCGATCTATACATGTGCACTGACATGGCAGTTGCCGTTGATATTTTTTACAGTGCCATGAATTCATTTTTTACTGAATGTGTTCCGTTATATTATCCGCCAAGCTCGAATAAACCGCCGTGGTTTACTAAAGAGTTGAGCCGACTTAAAATAAAAAATCTAGACTGTATGCTAAATTTAAAATCACCGGTTCTCAATCTGCCCTTTCATTTTATTTATCAGCTCGGTCAAACTTTTCCGTGCTGAACGCGCAGTGTTACAAAAACTATTTAACTCGTTGTAGGGCCCAGTTCTCACAGGACCCAAAACAGTTTTATAATTTCGTTAACACTAAACGTAAACCTAAAACAAATCCTTCCTCGCTTTCATTTGAAAATACTACCGCAAATAATGATCAGGCAATAGCCGATCTATTTTCGCAGTTTTTTCAAACAACCTATTCTAGCTCTTCGTATATATACCAGACTTATTCCTACGACATACCCAAATCGAACTTAATTTTCTGTCCTAGCCTAAACGAAAGCTCTCTCCTTTTAGATCTTCATCGTGTCAAGCCAGTTTATTCGCCAGGTCCCGACGGAATTCCTGGCTGTGTGCTCAGGTATTGTGCCGACGCCCTGTGCTATCCCCTTCTGAAATTGTTTACCTTGTCCTTAGCAACCTCCCACTTTCCCATTATTTGGAAGGAATCGTTTATTATTCCTCTCCACAAAAAAGGTAGCAAATTGGATGCCAGCAATTATAGAGGAATCTCTAAGTTGTCGGCCATCCCAAAATTATTTGAAAATATTATCACCCCTCATTTACAGCACCTTTGTAGATCGGTTATTTCTCCATGTCAACATGGTTTTATTAAGCGAAGATCAACAACAACAAATCTTTTGGAGCTCTCTTCCTATATTATAAAGGGCTTCCATAATAATTGTCAGACAGATGTAATCTATACTGATTTCAGTAAAGCATTTGACTCTGTTAATCATTCTCTCCTCGTTAGAAAACTCGATTCAATGGGTTTTCCAAGTGATCTTCTTAATTGGATCTCTAGTTATTTGAATGGCAGGACGCAAAAGGTCCTCTTTAAGAATAATTTATCCAATATTCTAAGGGTTACATCTGGTGTCCCGCAAGGAAGCCATTTGGGACCCTTATTGTTTACATTGTTCATAAATGACCTGCCCAAAGTCTTGACTAACTCCAGAGTACTTATGTACGCGGATGACGTCAAGCTTTGCGTGCAATACAATGACGTTGCCTGCCAGTCGGAAATGGCTCGAAATGCAAGCTAATGACATTCTCTCGTGTCGCTCCTAAGCTTGCTACTTACACGCTGAACGGCTGCTCTTTGGAAAGAATTAATACAGTTGACGATTTGGGCGTCCGCTTGGACCCAAAACTTGACTTTATTGATCATATTTCGTCTATGGTGAATAGGGCCAGGGGTGTGCTTGGATTTATTAAACGGTGGTCGAAGGAATTCAATGACCCCTATGTTACTAAATCCTTATATACTTCCTTAGTTCGTCCTATCCTAGAATATGGATGCTGCGTTTGGAGCCCTCAGTACGGCGTCCATAGTAAACGCATTGAGTCGGTTCAAAAGAACTTTTTACTTTTCGCTCTACACGGTTTAAATTGGGATGCAAACCAAAGATTACCTTCCTACTCTAGTAGACTCCTATTAATAAACTTGCCGTCCTTAGCCAATCGTAGAATGATGCTAGGGATAACCTTTATTTTTAACCTTATCCATGGTGATGTGGAAAGTGCTGACTTGTTGGGTCAGCTTAATTTCCATGTACCATGTAGAACCACTAGATCCTATATCCCATTAGTGTTGCGCCACTGTAGGACCTCCTTTGAACTGCATGAACCTTTTAGAGTGTTATGTGCAAATTATAATGATTTGTACACACTAATCTCTAACGTAGATTCCCTTCCCAAATTAAAATCTTTGATATTAACATACTTAGTAAGCATGCAAGCTAACAATCTGGCAGCACGCCGGTAGTCAATTTTCCTCGTATTCTGTCCTATATTTTCCATCGCGCCTACTAACACCTAACCCAAACAGGCACGTGCCTGGTGTCATACGGGCCACTTGTATGTACTGACCTTAGTGCATCAACGTCCATGTATTTATAGGCCACTGTCATCAACAGTCATCAACGCTTCGACTGCGACTTATACCGACCCGACGCTCTGCCGGCTGAGACTTCTACCGAGTCGACGCTCTGCCCACAATACAGTTACGATGGCAGTCGTCGGCAGTATCATGGCGCGGCAGTTGATGAATTGTTGATGGGTGTTGCTGAATTTGTTGATGAATTGTTGTAAATTGTTAATGAATTGTTGATTAACAGTTGATGAATTGTTGATGAATTTGTTGATGATTCATCGATGAATTATTGATAAATGTTGATAATTCATTTATTAATTGTTAATGAATTGTTGTTAATGACTGCCTAGGACATGCCCATGTTAAATTCATCAACAATTTGTATGGCCGTCAACCGATGAATCATCAACAACACCGCCTTGACTGTTTATGAATCGTTGATTAATTACTGATGAATGGTACTGAAGGGTTGTTGTTGTGTTTTCTCAAACAAGCAAACATATTTATTTTTAGTTTTGTACGCTCTCAACTTTGTGAAAGCAGGGAGAACGCCATTGTGTTAGAATCAAAAAATTAGCCCCATATTGCAAAACGAATGTGTGGTCATAAGGTATCTTATAAACTGTAATGTCTTTGGTATAGGTTATGCCATAATTCTGACTTGGATTACGCGGGTCTCAACCTCGCCATCAAAAACATTGTGCTTTGTGATCGCCTTTATAAGTAAAATATCATCTCCAGTAAATCAGCAGTAACTTCAACATTATTCTGCATAAACTGACTAATAGATTAACTTAAACTACCAAATTTTGTAACATAAAATATTTAGTTTTACGTCAAGAAATTTATAGTTATAATTGTAATTAAATTAAAATTATCATTGTGAAAAAATAAATGAAATCTATCAATCCAACAATAACCTTATGAGCTGGGAAAAGAAAAATATCAGATATAACTAAATCTATCCAACAACGAAGTGTTTAAATTAAGTTGAGGAACATTTGTTAAAATCAACTCGACAAGGAAAGTAAACGTGCCTAAAATAGAGCCCAATAGCCAAACAAGAATGATTCCAGCAAAGTTCGACATTCCTAAGGTGACTGGACCAACGTCTTCTTGACTACCAGACATAGTGCTCTCGACTTGTTGTTGTATTTTTAGGTTTAAGTTATCGGCTACCACACGATACTCCCAATATTTATCGAACCCGGAAGAGTGCCAATTGTATATTAGGGAATTGAACTGTTTTAGGAGTGGCCAAAGTCTCGGCACAAAAGCTACTGTGTATTGATAATAGAGATCATCCCGCATTATAATTAGCTGGTCAATTGCTTGTGGCACCAAATAGTCCCCGATGGCAAAGTGACCTGTGAGATTAATAAAATAAGATCCAAATTATTTTGAGGAGAGATTTCTTACCAAAGGGCAAACGTTCAACAGCAAAACCAATGTTTACTCGCGGATCCTCTGCAAGCCGAAGAAGTTTTTCATCGCCATAGATCCGAAATTTATTTAACAGATCCTGAACTAGGGGCTGCCAAATGATTTCCGTAAGTAATATAACTTTATTTCAGTATTTTTAAATGTTAAAAGAACTCACGTCATCAGAACCACGTATGGCTGACACCCATGCCTCAGAATTGGCGGCCCATTGTAATTGGTGAGAGCGTAAACGTTGCACATTGTCAGCTGCTTCGTCCAAGCTGGGTATTGTTAATATACTGGCAAGGCCGCCCCCATATATACTGGTAATAATTAGGTCGTTAAGGAAACAGGCAAACAGGAGCACACGAACTGTAATTGAATGTGCTTTGCTATTTCCTGATTGTGATATTAAAAGTTTAAAAGTCGTGGACAGTCCGTATTTTGCACAACTCCACCATCCAACCCGTTCGCTGGGTGTCAAAAATAATTTCTGCTCGCTCCAATATGCTATAATCAATCCCATGGTTTCTATACATAAGCACACAAATACCGCAGACCAAAGAGTTGCTTGAAAAGGTTCAAGTGGAATATACCATCCGGCTACCCGCAACGGCATCGGAACTAGGCATGTTATGCCAGATCGTACAAGGTACATAGAGAGGTCTAGAAATTTGTAGTCCTCGAACCACGAGTACATGGCTCCAATGCAGATATCCGCTTTATTATTAATAACCATACCTAGTGCACCATCTCCAGATATATTTGCGTAAATGGTACCCCAATCGTTGGCGTCAGCTATAAAAGATAAATTATTAAGTAAAAAATTATTTTGAATATTGTATTTATATTGTAGTTGTAGATTTAAACAAGAAAAGTGATTTACAAACCGATTGTGACTAACTTGTAGCGTTAGGAAGGTAATGTAAAATAAATATACTTTTGTTTTAGATTTCGATACAATGAACTAAAATTCGATATCTTTATACTCATATGTAAAAAGAATTCAGTTTTTGAGTACATTTTAGCTACTGTAGAAAAATAAGAAAAACAGGAGGACAGCGCAGCCTGCATTTGGTGCATTGATGGAACTGGAGACTGTCGAGCACGTGCAGTTCGCCTGCAGGAGATTCACGATCGAGCGGAGTTTACTGTAGGGAATCTGGTAGCGCTATAGTCGACAGCGATGCAAACAGGCGCCATTTACCAGATTGTAGAGTCACTCGCGAACGGTCACAAGGCTCACCTGGCCACTCCAATGAAGGCCTCGTCCGGTCCCTTCCTACAGTTGTCACTTAAGCCAGTCCCACGCTTTTCCCCTGTAATATTTCTTTCTTACAGCAGTGTACTCTAATTGTTGGTACTTTTTTTCATTAAGCTGTCACATGACTCTTTGCACGGGGCGTCACCCTCAGTTGTTTGGGCAGTGTGGCTATCCAGAGGCACTGCCTAGCTGATCCCTGTACCCTACAATCGCCACATTCTGCCATCATCAGTGTACACGGGTTAAAAACTCAGTGATACACAAATGCAAATCTAGGACGACTTTAAAATAGCTTAAGGTATAGCTTACGTAGCTCTCCAGAGCTACTAATACTGCAAAGTAGCGAAGCTAGGATACGGCGATTTGAAGAAAGATTGGCCGCGGATTTGCCCAAGCCAAACCCTACGCCAGGCAGAATACCCTTTTAAATCGACGACTCGGTTGTTAGAGTCTATACGTGCATATTGGAGGGAAACTTCCCGGAACCCCGTTAATCGCAGCTCCCTGATATACACGACGTGTTATAGTAACAGTCCCTTCCCCTTCAACAAGGTTAAGGGTGCCTAAGGTGCCTAAGGCACTTCTCACGGAAATGGAGACGAAGTCAAGCAGGGAATAACGATCAAGGCTAAATGAGCTGCAGATGAAGTTCCTGCACAAAGACGAAAGACAACCGGTCAGATGGGGAGTTTATCGAAACTGCGAAGGTGGTGTGAAACTTTCGCCAAATCTTATACCCTTGCAGGGTGCTATAATTTCAGTCAGAAGTTTGCAACGCAGTGAAAGAGTCATCTCCGACCATATAAACTATGTATATATATATATATTCTTGACCAGCATCAACAGCCTAGTCGAACTAGTGATGTCCGTCCGACTTTCCGTTTCTACGCAAACTAGTCTCTCAGTTTTTATCTGAATGAAACTTGGAAGTTAGCCCTCTATATACTCTGACTCATATATAAGTCGGAACGGGCCGGAACGGAACATCGGAAAATTAAAAAAAAAAAATTATAGATATATATATAACTTTTTCAGTTTTTAACAATTTTTTTTACAATTTTTCTTAAAACTTAATAAAGTCCTACTACTATATCTTTAAGCTGTCATAGGGACGATCGAGATATTATTACAATTAAACTATTTTAACTTTTTCAGTTTTCAACAAATTTTCAATTTTAATTTTTTCTTTCAAATGTGGGATATAGCTCGTTTATATTCTTCTTAAACTTTGGTTTAAATTTTATGATAATCGGACTACTAGATCATATAGCTGCCATACAAACGATCGTTAGATAAAGAGGTAATTCAAAACTTTGAATGTTAAACTGTAAATATAATATGTATATGTGAAGGAAATGAAAGCAGTCATTACTTCAATGTTTTTTATAACTGTATTAATTCCTAGTAATTGAATTTCAATCTACAAGCTTCCTTTCTTGTTTTTATTATTATTTAGGACAGTTGCCATTTTTTAAAAATAAGAGGTTTTTGGCAGTACGAAAATTGATTTGAAGCACTTTGACATTTCCCGACAAAAAATGTTTTTGATGATGCATTCCATCTTTATTACTTGTGTACTTACATGTGTCGATTTGGACTCTGCAGTTGTATCGTTCACAGAAAGTTAAGACAATGCGAGTTTCAGTGCCATCGATATAAACATTTCTGAGGTCGGAATCCTCTGGTACACTTATGTCCAGAGCATTGGCTTTAGTACCCTGTGTATGTATATAATTATAAAAAACGGATGAAGAGATTAATTTTTTAATTTACATAGCATTTATTTCTTAGATATTACGAAGAATGTATTTTCTAGGTGTGTAACGATTAAAAGTTTTAAGGAATAACATTTTTTGTTCCTCTATTAAGATTTTATTAAGAATGCACAAAATTTTAAATAAAGATTTTCTTTTTTATCAGTGTATAGAGGACTGTAATGCAAATAGACATTACTTCGATGTTTTTTAACACAAATATATATAATTTAAATTGTATAAAATATTAATGATCGAATTGCCATCTGCAATGGTATACATATTTCGGCGTGCCGAAGTAAGTTTTCATTTTTATTTTAATTGCCACAAAAAGCGACACAGAGTAGATGGATAAACTGAATTTCATTGCAAGTGATTTATAGGTCCTCTAATACTTTTCAAAATCCATTTAATAACTTAATAATATATTATATAAAGTGAATCTTACTTGTTTAATAACAGTGTATGGAGGGTAGTTGAACCCAGCTATAGTGACTTCGCGACCCTTCAAATCTCTAAGTTTGTCCGGGAAAAGAGATTTGCCCTCCTGAAATCGTTTTTCGGAGACATGGTACCTATCAAGAAGTCTAAGCTGGGCTGGGTTTTCTGCTCTAGGCCCCACATATTTGTTGGTCTTCATGTCGAAAATATTGCCGGTTGCATAGTCTCGTACAACAAAAAGAAGGTTTGCTTGATCTGAAATTAATTTAATAGAGGCGAGGCAGAAAAACATTTATAAAAGGTACCTTCGAAAAATGATCTTTTCAACAGCTCTTCCTTGAACTCCGTTGCAATGTATGCGAAAACGAATTTGTTATGTAAGGAACGCCATATTGCATGCATTGAAGCCTTTGTAAATGTATCCACAAAACGAATGACATCTGGACCAAATACAACAAAAGACTAACCAATGACATTAATTTCAATCGATGGCCAAAAAGTAATCCCAAAAACATATTTTATAATTTTACCTGGCAGTGTGTAACCTCAATGGATATTGTAATTTTCCGTAGAAGCTGGTTACCATTTTCCTTTTCTAACTGATCTTTCTTAAACGTTTCATTTAATAATTTTACATTAATTAATACTAAACTAGAATAATGTTCAAATTGTTGCAGCTGGATCACAAATCTCTCATTCAAAAAGATGCACACTGTACTATCATTTAGATAGTTTCCTACTAAATAAAAAATATGATTAAAAAAAATTATTTATCTATTTATTATAAAATTTTGCTTTTACTATTATTAATTTTTATATATTTACTTATAGCATTTATAACCAGAGACCAACCCTGGTCGATTATAATCATTTTTGTTTTACAATGCCGCAGTTGATATTAAAACGACTAGCTTCAATAAAAAAGTGAAGCCTAAATTGAGGCTAAGCATTAGACCAATGCCAATTTTGATTCCATGGCAAATAAATTAGCCAATAGGATAATTGACATGTAAACAACTTTAAAAATTCTCCTGTAATAAATTATTACATAGTGCACGTATACATACACACATACATATGTACATGCATATGGAGATAAGCATGTTGTATCTTTGAGTAAAAATTACATGCACTCAGAGAAATGTATATATTGAAATAAAAGATTGAGTCTAAAGCTGAATAAACTTAAAACCATACCTTGTAGTTGATATTAGGTTAAAAAAATCAAAAAATGTTAAATGATTAATTTTGTGACAATTAACATTAACAAAAAATAAACATTAACATTAAAAAATAAATAATTCAACAAGATTCGTTTTCGGCACCAAATTACAAAATATCTAACCATAAACTCAAGATTTCTAAAAGCTTGCCTTTTATTTAATATGGACGTTGATGCACTACGGTCAGTAAACTCAAGTGGCCCGTATGACACCAGGCACGTGCCTTTTTGGGTTAGGTGTTTGTAGTCTCGATGAAAAATATAGGACGGAATACGAGGAAATTGACTACCGGCGTGCTGCCAGGTGGTTTGCTTGCATTTTTACTAAGTGTGAGTATGCATGTTTACTAAGTGTGAGAGTATAATTTGCACATAAGACTCTAAAAGGTTTATGCAGTTCGAAGGAGCTTCTACAGTGCACTATGGGGCATTTGACTCGTTTCGTTGGCATTAATTAATAACTTGAGAACGAAAAGAGATTTTTTGATTTGGTTTTCGGTATTTAGTTCGTGTTATTGATAAGATTTAACTGTAAAAAAATGGAGGCGTGGCACCGCCCCTTTTAGGGTGTACCAAATTTGTATGCTATCGTTTTGTTGGCTTTAATTAATAACTCCTTAAAATGAAAACATATTTTGCTGGGGTTTTTTTCTAGTATTAAAAACACTCTTAGAAATATTTTGAAAAGTGGGCGTGTCACTACCCCCCGCCACCATTTTTTTTTTGAGCATAAAGTACAATTTTTATACCAAATATAGATATTTTTTATATTTTAATAATAACGTATAAATATGTATATATATGTATATATTACTCAATATTTTCCTCATTATCAAGTTCTATATTGAACAAAAAATCATTGATTTCTTCGTCTACATAACAATCAATCAAAGTTTCATCTAATTCATCAATGCAATCATCCAAAGATTCATCCAATTCGTCAAATTCGCAGGATAGCAGTTCTATGACTTCAGTTGGAAGAGAAATGCGCCTATGTTTTCGTATGCGCCTCTTTAAGTTTACTGACGAAATTATGGGGTCTGACGTATCCAATGCTCTATGGAACACGTCAGTGAAGTTGCATAACCGGCTATTCTTCCTTGCATGGTGTAGTCTGTCTGATTTATAAATTTTATTTCGCGATTCAGCCGCCTCTTCACCAAAATAACCGACTGGAAGTACTGTATTTTGCAGTATTTCTGTTGAGTGCACCAAAATTTTATGAACTGTCGCTGTCATTGCAAGCCAAGGATATTTGTCTATAATTAATTCTCCCGTCTTTTGACACAATTTTTAATATTTTTCCAGGTTTATGGGCAGTTGACATGACAGGCATATTAATATTGTCCTCATGTTAAATATGAGCTCTTCATCAATGCCAATTATTTCAGAAAATATTTTATAGCTATTGAATGCTCGTCGCGCGGTATTTCCCACGTTTGTGTTCCCAAATCCTGATTTTTTGGCTGGTCAACTTTTAATGAAAGTTTTTCCCAAAACATACGTTGAATACTTTTTTTTCTCTCGGAGACAAGACTTTTTTCGACCGGGTTTGAAATTCTCCACTTTTGTATACCTGTTTTATATCCGGCATGCAGCAAAAATTCAAAAAATCTGATCCAGCAATGTAGTGGGCTGACTCCATGTTTTAAGTTATCTAAAATAGGAAGAAATTTGAGGCACTTAAAGTTCTTGTTACCCAGAAAATCTTTGGGTGTCGCACTGCAAATAGGACAAGCTTGAAATGATTTTGCTCCTGTTAAAGCATTAAGCACTTTGCCATCGATAACGGTTAAGTAAAGACTAAATTTAACATATATGCATTGCCTCTCGTTGAGTAGTACTTTGCAAGACATCAAGTTGTCAATTTCTTTTCTTATATTCATGCTTTCTCTTATAATAACTTCCTTTGTTTCCTTAAGGAATTCCAGTTTTAATGGACGACAGAATCGTATACTCTGAGGAGTGCGATTGTTCCATAAAATGTTTGCCGAGCTATCAATAAGGCGTAAAGGCATAACTGTTGTAGCAAATAGACTTGAATCTGTATCATGTGAGTGATTATCAGTGTATGCCTGGTTATAATTGGCCTGTCCCGTACTTCCGTCAAAGCCATAACTTAATATTAATTCGGCTGATAAGAAGTCAGTTTGTTGATTTTTCATTGCCATTGCAATGCTTGCTTCCTGTAAGGCCACAATCCGAATAGCTGTGTGATTTAATAGGTCCTGAAGTGAAGTTTTAGCTACTGTGTCACTAACTTCAATATTTGGTGGCCGGCAATCCTTTTTTTTCTCCGCCACTTCTTTATATCTTGGATAGATATCCGCCCTTCTGCACTTAGCGTCCTCTCGCAATGCGCAATACTGATTTTTAGTTAAGCCTTGGTCCAAAATCAAAGCCAGGGCTTCTTCTGGGGAAGAACGCAAAGGTTTCGTAATCGGTGTCTTCAATAGCTTCCTGATGCTCTTGGCTTTAGCAGGGTTGAGCGCTAGCAACTTTAGAACGGCAGCAATATCGAGGAGCCCGCGCTTACGGGCAGCTATACTGGCAGCTTGAACTAGCAAACGTGCATTGTGTTTATACGCCTTGGAAAGATCAGCTGCTTGCTTTCTCTGCGCTCTTTTCCCTTTAAAGTTAAATGATATTTTTGGACGTCCGGGTCTATTTAGTTTTCTGTTACCATCTTCTTTATTTAAAGAGATGCTTAAATTGTCTTGAAGCCATTTTGAATTTCGAGTTGAAAAATATTTAATGTTTGCCTTACATTTTTGCCACATGACAAACAAGTTTGTGCAAAACATTCTTGATTTTTCTTTAAAATAGCTTTTATTTAAAGCCAGAGTACTCGAAACAACATGGCGACATATAAAATTAAAAACGGCATCATTTTTGTCACGGCGGCACCTTTCCTTTCGCCACACTTCGAACAAGTCAACATTTTTAAATAAGAGGTTGCTTCCTTAAAAATGAAATTACGTAAAGGGTAGAGAAAAGTGGAAATTAAGATTGGATGCTCTGAATTAGGAAATGATAAATCTACGACATGGATATAGACACTTACTCAACAAACTTCAACAGTTGATTAAAAATCTTATCAAAGTTGAACTTTTTTTCCAAAAGTCAGCTGTTGACACTACATGTTAAATATACAAATTGTTAGAAAGACACGCACAAATAAAACAACGAATTAGTAAAAACACATAAAACAAACCTGTATTTATATTATTCATTTCAAATTTTAGTTATTTTCTTTTTTTTTCTCGTTTTATAACAATTCGAAAATGCACTTCAAAATTAAGCTTAAACAAGCCGCGTGGTTCTTGTTTACAACAGCTGACTTTAACAGCTGCTACTTTAACAGTGCCATTTTGAGTTAACATTTCTGGTATGTAACATAACATTTTGATGTATTTAAAATGTGTTTGCATTAAAATATCGTTATTTTAATACTTGTAAAAAATCAATTAAAGCCAACGAAACGAGTCAAATGCCCCATAGTGCAGTGGCGCAACACTAATGGTATATAAGATCTAGTACTTCTACATGGTACGTGGAAATTGAGCTGACACAAGAAGTGAGAACTTTCCACATACATATCTATGGATAAGGTTCTAAATAAAGGTTATTCCTAGTATCGTTCTACGATTGGCTAAGGACGGTAACTTCATTCAGGGGAGTCTTTTTGAATATGAAGGTATTCTTTGGTTCGCATGTATAAGGATTTTGTTGGCTGAGATGATAATTTTGAAGTTTAGTGCAGTTAGTTTAGGGCGAAGGCGATAACCTTCGCCAACCGTAGCATAAGCTAGGCTAAGCTAAGAAATAGAGATTACTCGCATTCTTTGAATTCGAAGCATCGTATCATTTTTTCGTCCGTGCCAAATTCTTGCCACCACATCTCGGTCTAGTTAAAATTTTAATTTTTAATAAACTAATTAAAAAATTCATGTCGTCCCCGGGTGGACAAGAATAAAATTATCAACATATTAAAAAACAATATAATAGTGACAGTGACACATATATACATATATATACATATATATAAAAAATTATACATTAGTGCAGTTCAACAAGCAAGTGTTATTATTGCTAGTAAAAAATTGTTGCCCGCGACGCGCTGTGTATAATAAATTTAATTTAAATAATTAAAATAAATTTACCGTGTCGGTCGCGAAAATACTCTGCTGCGCCAACTACTGCCATCAACGAGGGATCAACAAGTACAGGAAAGTGGCAGCTGGAATATATTTCTATATATACATACATATATATCGCCAATCAGAGGTATTTGTGCAAAAATTGAAAGCTGGAGTAAAAAAAATAATTGTTTATTGTCTTGTGCTGAAATATTGCACCTCGCTTTCAATTCTTGGCACATATGTATGTACGTATTTATAGTAGAGCAACATTGCATGTTTTATTTATTCAATTATATATTAACTAAAATTAACATATATACATACATAATATTGAATCGCACTTGGACGCAACATTTATTTATGTTATTTATTGTATAATATTGCAATCACTCCCGCCCCCTTCCCCTCCTCTCTCGTTAGAACTCGCTTTAATAGTTGGGAAGTTAATCCAAGCTTGCGCACCAATACATAAAGCCTTATATACTAGCAGCTGCAGCGGTGAACTTTTTCGTTTTCGCTTTCGCTTGTGTGCCGGTGCAGTCATTGTTGTTGTTGGGCTCTCTTAGTTTGGCGCGCTTAGATTAGCGGACCGCCAAGTGACGCGCTACCCTATTTTTGTCGGGTATACACTTTTCGGCGTCACTTGCACCCACTATTAATATTGATACTGCGTGACTCGTTTCAATTAAATAAATTATTTGTCATCAGAAAAAATATTTAATACACTTTTCGAACAAAATAAAAATATTAATTTGTAATATTAATTAATTAATTAATAATTATTAAATTAAAAAGTATATTTATATATATTTTTTTATTCTTTTAATTGAGTGTTTATTTGATATTATTTTGATATTATTTATATTTGATTCGATAGCTATAATTAATACTTTCGTCGTCTTTCTGATTTAAACAATAATTTTCGACCATTATTATCATTCTTGGGAAAATTAATTAAATTAATTTGTAAAAATGAGCCAGGATACAAAAAATAAATCTCTTCTGGAGGAGTTAAAAAGCAAGCTCCAAAGTAGGGTCAGAACCATTCGCCGATTAAACGAGCGGCTGGAACAGGGTTCGATTCCGATTTTAGAAGAAGAATTGAAATGTCGACTCGAAAACTTAAATGCTTCAATTAACAAGGCAAATCAAATACAAGAACAGATAGAAGAAATAAATAGTGGCGATGAATATGGCGACGAGTTGGAAGAACTTAGCATCGTGACCAAGGCAAAATTAATGTCATTATTATATGCCATAAGGACAGCAGCCAGCAGCGAAACTCCAGGATCAGCTGCTGTAGAACCAACTCGTGCGCGACTTCCGAATTTGGCATTGCCAAATTTAGTGAAAATTATTCGGAATTTAAAAATTTTATTAGCATCTTCGAAACTTTGGTTCATAAAGATGCCAGCATTTCAAATATCGAAAAATTTAACCATTTAATTTCATGTCTCTCTGGTGAAGCTTTAGAAACAATTAAAGCTTACCAAGTCACTGAGAGTAATTACGAAAAGGCGATGGCCAGTTTGAAAAAGGTTTAGGACAACGAATGCCTCATCTTTATGAATAATATTTCAACATTGTTTAGTCTTCCAAAAATATCGCATCAATCCGCATCCTCCTTGAGAAATCTTATCGACACTGTTTCGTCGATTTACGGTTCTCTGCTATCGATAGGAGATGATACAAAATTTCAAACGCAATGTTGATATATTTGGTATTAAATAGAGTCGACCCAGTGACCAAACAAAAATGGGAGGAACAGCTCGATTATGAGACATTGCCACTTTGGTCCGATTGTGAAAAAATGTTAAATCGCCGATACCAGCATTTATCGGCTGAAGAATCAACAAAACCAAAGCTGGAAAAATTACCGTCAGGCAAACCACATAATCGAAGCTCATTTTCGTGTTCCTCCTCCAACAGCAAGCCTCAGCAAACTTGTAGCTATTGCAATGCAGAAGATCATTCACTACAGAATTGCAGCCCGTTTGGGCGTCTCTCTGTAATGCCAAGGTTTGAGTTTGTCAAATCAGCCTCCTTATGTATCAATTGTCTGCGAAAAGGCCATACTGTGTCAAAATGCAAAGGAAAAAAGTGTAGAGCTTGTGACCGCTCACATCACATTCTGCTCCACAGATACACAGTGCCTGATAAAAGTTTAGCGTTGCCACCCCTTCAAGAGAATATTTCTCCTCCCTTTAACCAAGAGCAGCCTTCCACGTCACATGTTATGCATGCTACGTCATTGGACAGGGTAATCTTGGCTACGTCAATCGTAAGCGTGCGCACGAAAAGCGGTGAATACGTTTTAGTCCGAGCACTTCTGGACTCTGGGTCTCAAACGAATTTTATAACAGAAAAATGAGCGAACCGCTTACAGATTCGTAGAGGACTCGTGTATCAACTTACTTGGTATTGGCGAGTCCAATTCTCAAGTCAAGAAAAAGATACACACCGTGGTGAAGTCACGAATCAATGGGAGTGAGTTCTCGTTTGATTTCTGGATCTTGAAATCGATCACCGGTTATCATCCCGATCAATCGGTGAACGTCAACGATTGGAAGATCCCAAAGAACCTCCCACTAGCAGACCCCTACTTTTACAAGTCCCAAAAAATTGATATGCTAATCGGAGCCGAATCATTTTTCGAATTGCTAGCTGTTGGTCAAATTAAACAAGGTCCTGACTATCCAACTCTTCAAAAGACCCTCCTTGGTTGGGTTGTCTCGGGGAGATATAAATCTACAGTCCCGATCCCGATCGTTAGTGTCGATCGATACCACGCTACAGAAATTTTGGTTACTAGAGGAAATGCCAAATCCAAAGAAAATTCTGTCGCCTGAGCACAAGTTATGTGAAGAGTACTACAGGAAGACTACTCAGGTATTGCCATCAGGTCGGTTTGAAGTAAGGCTGCCGTTTAAATCTGACCATAAGGGGTTAGGCAATTCTTTTGAAGTTGCAAAACGGCGGTTTTTGTCGCTTGAGAGAAGGTTGTCTCGAGATCCTGACTTAAAGACCATGTACTTGGAATTTATGGAAGAATATCTCGCCTTAGATCATATGTCGCCTACAGACAACAAAATTCCTTCCACTCCACATTATGTCATTCCGCATCAATGTGTGTTGAGACCCCAGAGTACGTCAACAAAGTTGCGCGTTGTTTTCGATGCATCATGCAAAACATCGACTCAGGTGGCCTTAAATGACATCTTGATGGTGGGACCGACAATCCAAGAAGAGTTGTACTCCACTCTACTCCGCTTCCGGCTGCACAGGTATGCCCTGACTGCCGATGTAAAAAAGATGTATCGCCAAGTGATGGTTAACGAAGCGGATAGGCAGTTTCAACTCATAGTGCGGAGAAGAGACCCCTCTGAATCCTTGAGATTATACGAGCTCAACACCGTTACATATGGTACTGGACCAGCCCCTTTTCTTGCTATTCGGTGTTTAAAAAGGTAGAGTGAATCTGCGAAACTTTCATTACCTAGAGCTGCCGACGTAATTGGATCCGATTTTTACGTCGATTACATGCTAACTGGTGCTGCATGCGTAGAGGAGCTACGGACAATCAAGTCTGAAGTGTCTCAGGTTCTTCAAACAGCAGGTTTTGATTTGACAAAGTGGATTTCAAACTCACCTGAGGCCACTGCCTATCTCGGAATCAGAGTCAACTAAGGCGTTAGGAATATCTTGGTTGCCTAGCGAAGATGCCTTCAAATTTAAAATTGACAATTCTGTCATGGGTCTCCGAGCGACAAAACTGAACATTTTATCGGTAACATCCAAGCTGTTTGACCCCCTCGGCTTATTAAGTCCCATTGTAATAAAAGGAAAGATCCTATTGCTGGAACTGTGGCTTAAGAAGTTAGACTGGGATGAGTCAATTCCGCTGCATTTAGAAACTGCATGGAATATGCTAAAAAACACCTTGTCTCAATTGGATAAGATAGCTATTCCTCGGTTTGTGCATACTGATCCGATGTCACCGGTGCAATTACATGCCTTTGCCGACGCATCCATGAGAGCCTATGGAGCTTGCGTCTACATTCGTAGCAAATCTGCTGAAGGTTACAAATTATCGTTGTTGACTTCAAAGTCGAAAGTAGCGCCGCTCAAGACAAAAACGCTCCCAAGGCTTGAGTTATGTGCCGCTCACCTTCTCGCAGATCTCTGCCAGAGAATCAAACCGCTAATAAATGTCCCTATCGAACGAATCGTTTACTGGTCGGATTCGGAAGTCACTCTCCATTGGATCCGATCTCATCCATCGTCGTTGTCGGCATTCGTTTCGAACAGGGTTGCAGAGATTCAAGAATGGTCAGGACAGGCTACATGGCGGCATGTTCCAACGAAGCAGAACCCAGCAGATATAGTGTCTAGAGGTTGTGACGTCGACGAAATTGGACAGTCGATCTGGTTCACGGGACCTCAGTTTCTGAAGGACGAGGAGGAGAACTGGCCCAAAAATGTTCATTTTGAACTGGATGAGGAAGTCTTGCGTCAGGAATCAAGAAAGACAGTGGTCGGACTGACCGCTGCGGTGCAAACTTCCGATTTGCTAGACGTCATCGAGGGATTCTCGTCACACCTGAAACTGCTTATATGTTCCGCTTTATAAGAAAATGTAAAGACAAGAGTATAGTTTTCGAAAAAACTCTGTCGCCGGCTGAATATACTGAAGCATTTAATAAGATCGTCGAAATAATTTAGAATCACGAGTATCAAATAGAAATAGTAAAAATTCGTAAAGGTTCCAAGGTCGGACCAAGTCTTCAGCGATTGAACCCATTCATCCATGAAGACGCCGGCACTTGGTGCAATTTTTTGTTGTTGCGAGTTGGGGGGCGACTAGCAAACGCTCCTATATCTTACGATGCCAAGTTTCCCTTGCTGTTGACGAAACGCTCCCAATTTGTGCAGAGCTACGTCCGGCAACTGCACCACACAAATTTTCATGTCGGTCCTCGAGCACTTGTGAGCATCCTACGACAGCGTATTTGGACCATAAACGCTCAGGAACTCTGCAGTCAGACAGTTCGATCGTGTGTGCGCTGTTTTAAATATAAGCCCCGACTGATGACTCAAGTTATGGAAAATCTTCCCGCAGAAAGACTCCGTGGTCTCCGCCCATTTGCAATATGTGGCGTAGATTTTTGTGGCCCTGTTTATACGACTTTGAAAATAC